ATATATACTTCACTCAATAATTCATATTCTACATCAAATTTTAATGATCTAATTATCTAATTGAAAATTTTTAATGTATAGATTAAGTTTATAAATTTTTAAAAAATATGAAAAACATATTATACTTCGCTATATAAATTTAAATCAACACATAAAATATTTCTATGATAATTTATGAATTTGAATTAATGAAACAAAATTTAAATGATTTTCATTTTTTTTTAAATTTGTAAACTTGATCTATATTTAAATAATTTTAAATTTAATGAATGGATCATTAAAATTTGATGTAGAACACAAATTATTAAGTGATATAAGTCTACCAAGATTTACTGTGTGAATCTCTCCTCATATGTATACACCAAATAATATAAATCATTTGTTATTATTTTTTCCTTTTTTCTCTCTCTCTCATTTACATTGTCTTTCATTTCCTTTCTCAAATCAAAGAAATTATAAAAGATCCAGCATTTTTTATTTTAAAATAAAAATTATATAAATGAATTTTTATCCAATTTGGAAGAAAAATCTAACTTGGATAAAATCAATTGATAGCAAAATATATATCATGAAGCCCGTCTCGTTCACGTCGGTATTAAAGCTGGGTCCGCGTATTCCTCAAAGGATCTCTTTATAAGACAATGTACATGCGATAAGATACTCATTATTGAATTCGAAGGGCAACAACACAACAACATTTAAAATCTTCCATATCTCCTTATCCTCATCTTATTATTTTCCCTTTATAATTACAGTTCTGTCTCCACCATAAACAAGGCACGTTCTAGCAAACAGCCGAAAATAGTCATAAATGTCCATAAAATTTAAGAGTATTTTTCTTATCAAAGATAAAATTAAACCATATGGAATTAGGAATATTTCAAAATTGTCAAAAAAATAGAAAAAAGAACACATGTTTCGTACAGAATACATGTATTCCCATCTTAACTAGGCTCCATACTTATGAAGCAATTATGAACAAAATGAAGGGATTCACAAAAATTATTGCCAGTGGTTTTGATTACATACAAGGGATTTAATTTCAGACTTTCGATTTGAGTCTCTGCATTCGAAGATCCTCAAGTATAAGACGAGTCTCTCGTCGAGCCTCACTACAACATTGCCCATAAGCTGCTACCATTTGCTTGGTAGAACTCTCTAATTCTCTCATCTCATCCAAAACTATTTGTCTGTTCCGACACTCTACACTGCAGAAACCTTGATCACCCCTGTACATGCATCATATCCAACTTCTATCAGAATCAATACATGTCAAGATTCAAACTTCGATGAGCAAATGTTAAAGCTAAGACTTAATTAATGACCCCAGATGCTATATATCATTAATTATATTACTTTTAGTAGGGAACTAATGGAGTTCTAGGTAACTTAATTAGACAATGAGTGATGATACAAGATATGATAAAAAAAAATATAAAAAAAATTGGTCCTGTCAAGGTATCATTCAGTTCACTGGATTAGAGATTAGTCTCATCCACAGTACTGTAATTGTTATTGGTATGAAGGGTTGTAACAGTATTAGCAGAAGATAATGATATTAATCAATCTTTGATTAAGAAATGATGTGTACGTACGTAGGTGTATAGCTAGAACTAGAAGAGTTTGGTTATGTACCTGTACATGTAAATATCTTTGTCTGGGCTGAGCTGCTTATTGCATAGATTGCAAGTTTTAAGGAAGCAAAAGTCCTGAGGTATGGATTGGTTTGTCTTTCTCATTGCAGATTTCAAGAGGACATTGGATGTGCTCTTTGAGGTTGTAATTTGAGGGAGAAGTCTCAAACCAACATCCATGTTGGTACTCTCAAATGATCTCACATGCTTCCTTCTTTTGCTCACATGCTTCCCTTCATGGGATTCCACCTTGAAGGGGCTTATGAACTTTGGAAGCATGGCTATAGTGGGGAAGATAGAACTGAATAGAGTAGAAAGAAGGAAAATTGGATGAGTCTTGTGAGAGGAAGCAATGGTGGATATTTAAAGGAAGCATGCCCCACAAAAAGTGCACCACCATGTTTTACTCTGTTTAACTTTAGTGCACTTAATAACACGTGTTGCATTACAAATATATATTTTTATTATTACAGCATTTGCGTCACGCTTTTACATTGGTCAAAAAAAACAAAGGGGTAGCATAGAAAGAATAATAGAGTAGGTGGTGAAATTATGGCTTGTGTCTATTTGTGCTGTTTGTATGTATTATTGCTTTGTTTGGCCCACAGGGACACGGTGGAGTGACGCGGACAGAGATTTAATTTTATAATAATTTCGGATATACACACATGAAAATTGTGGTACCGAAGAAGACATGACATAAAGTATAATTAAGCACATAGCACTGGATTCGCTGGACCTTCACCTTTGGAATCGCAGCAATGGTTGCAGAGATTTCTTATTCTCTAACCACTACGTTCCAATGGAAAGCTAACAAAGGCAATAGGAACTTCCGATGTGTGGATGAACATGAATATATAGATGTGGCAGGGATGGAGTGTTCAAAACTTGTGTCATTAATTTGCGTCGTTTATTCAACTAAAAGAATAAAACAACAGCTTACTTAATATGAGTAAAACTAAATTTAGATTCTTTAAACAATATATCGGATTCATTTATTGGGGGTAATAGATTCTTTTAAGTGGATTCTTTTTTAAAGATTCTCGAAAATTAAACTTTCATCTTTAATTTTTTTAAAGCCTGGCTTTTTCATAAAAATAAATTATAGTTAACATAATTTTTTTAATGGTTAGTATTCCACCCAGTGAAAATGTCGATCATTTATGAAGTATTATAAATGAAAGAGATTGTTAGGAAGAAATTCACATCATTCCCATAAATAGGTGAGAACATTATAAATTTGAATCCTCTTCTACAATATTTTCTCTCCCGCCTCTTTCTAACAATATTAATAACCATCGAATATATTTAATAGTTTAAATTTAATTTTATAATATAATTTCTTAAATAATTTTTATAAGATTAACTTTGAATTATTAAATATATATATAATAGTTATTAATATTGGTGAAGAGAGACCGAAAAGAGAATATTAGATACAAATCAATCATTGTGTTAAATATACATGACCAGTCCAAGTCACGTGCCCAAGAAATTCACTTGGGTGTTTTGAGTTTGTATTGAACATGAGAACCATCCAAAGAATGTGTTTTTTAATGATAACACAGGCTTTATGCTAAGGCGTAGGTTTTCACGAATCACGAGGCTTTGTTGTTCAATAATTACATCTTTATATTTTTTTAATGACAAGTGTAATTTTTTTAGGACAATAACAAGTGTTGTTAGAAAACTTATTAGTGTGATTGGTAAAAATGTATTAAGAATAAATTTCCTTTTATTGTCATATATATTGAGATTAAAATTTAAATAAATGAAAACTATATGGGTACAATATTTAATTTAGCCTCAGTTATATGTGATTCTTCGTTAGATAATTTTAATAATTATGTTTAAAAAACTAGTTAAAGAATTAAAAAAATTGAAAAACCTAGAAATGGAGATGTAGGAGAATATTGAATACCAATAATTTTTCATACTATTATCTTCTTGTGTTATAATTGTTTTGTTTGTCACTTATAAGATCTTAAGTTTGAATATTAGTGTAACTATACTGTACATATAAAAAAATTATTAATCATTGTATATTTATCGTAACTTTAATGTCTTACTTTTTTTTAATAAATTATTTATTATTATTTTTATTGGTATCTACTTACTTAAGAAAGATAATTAACTCAAGTTATTTTGATAAATATTTTTTTAATCAATGATTAAAGTTCGATTTTTAACTAGCTAGAACATGAAATTATTCCTATAAAAACTTACTTGGTAGAAAGAAATTATACCTCTTTATTAGATAAAAATGTTCAATGTATTTCATTATGTGTTAATAAAATTGGCGAAAACATGTAGAATCTAGCAATTTGACCAAGAGCAAAACCAACAAAATCGTTATTTTAGATTCCCTTCAAAAAAATGAAAATTATAAATATTTATATATTTTTTTTTCAAGATTTCATAATTTAAAAGTTACTTTTTACATTTTTTTAAAATTCACTTAAAAAAGTTTATATCTAAATGATATACAACTATAATTATTCTTTTCAAAACTCATCTCCAAAAATATTTTTATACCCTTCATATTTGCCAGTCTCAAATATAAGTAATTCTCGCTTAATTTAATGTTATCACCAAAATACCCTTCATATAATTGCAATTGTATTTTCAATGTTTCTTTTTATTTTTGATATCAAGTTTAAAAAAATGATAGTTTAGGAAATTAAGTTTTTATTTAAATTTAATTGACAAAATTAAATAATGTAAACATTTTTTCTTAATTAATATAAATTAATTTTTATTGTTTATATTTTATATGAAAATTTGAAAATTAAATGTATTTATTAACTTTTTTTTTTAAGGAGTACGTATTTATTAACTTTCTTAATTTGTATGAAATTAATTTTTATTTATATATAGATAAATAAATTAGTAGGCATATTGGCTGAGAATCTCCATCTAAAACTTTTATCAAGATTAATATTGATGGAAGCTCTCTTGGCAATCTTGGAACAACAAGTTTTGGAGGTATTCTAAAGACCAAGTATCATTTTGGTAATTGGTTATATATGCTTGCTAGTATTAGTGATTTTGCTACAAGTCTTAAAATGGAGTTATTAGTCATTGATTATAATTTATCAAAGGTTTGGTGGTGAGATTTCATATTTATTTTATGTGAATCTGACTTATAATATATCTTAAATTTAATTCAAAAGAATTGTAGTTCTTTTCATCCGTACTATCAACGATCACTTTAATAAGAAACCTCACCTTTAAAGATTGGCCCTTTATCTAACGATATACTTGCAGGAAGCATGCAAATTCGTGTGCATACTGATTTATTAAACATGGAGTTAGGGGTGAGTAACGGGTGCGTTTGGTCGGGTTCGGGTGAAAAATGTCCAACCCATTGTAAATCGACTTTGAAAAAATGTGATCCATATCCGACCGACTGAGCTTTCGATTTGAGGCGGTTCGGGTTGAAACGGATTCGGATTTAAGTGGGTGGGTATAATCGGGTTTGAATTTTTTTGTAAACCAATTTATCTTAAGGAAGATGAAGCTTAAAACGATAAAAAATATTTTTAAAATAGTGTATAAAAATAGAATGAAGGTGACAATAGATAGTGTAAGTAGATTCGTAGTTGAAACATTTACAAACTAAAGAAGCAAAAATAAAAGATAACAAAATTCATAGTTGTTACATGGAAAAGAAATATAAAGTTAGATTACAAAATCATAAGAAATCACAGTCACACAAAATGTACTCAAAATGGAGATAAGAAGATGGAAAAGAAAGACAAAGAAAGAAGCAAAAAGATAACTCTAAAAATGGACTAGTGTGTTGAGAAGTTGAATGAGGAAGGAGAAGACAAAATAAATATCTAAGTTATGAGAAAAAGGAAAAAAAATAAGTTACAAATTGATGGCTATATTATACTTGAAATAAAGATTTTTAAGTTTGGACCATTGTTGTTTAGTTATACAAAAGTAATAAAAATTTAAACTTATCTCATTTTCGGTTGAGTTCGGTTTTTGGCGGGTTTAAAAATTCAAAACCGAACCCGCCCAATATAACCCGTATAAAATCAAAATTTTAACCCGATTTACCCATAAGACCCGTCCAAACCCACCCAAAAACAATATTTTTTATCGGGTTTTTCAGGTTCGGTTCGGGTGTCGGTTTAATGCTTACCCCTACATGGAGTCACACATAATGATGATTCTTTCATGGAATGGAATAAGTGTGTTCTTTTGTTAGTTCTACTCTGATTAGGAATTGTCCATATTAGATCTTACCATAATTTTGTTTAATTTTTCTGAAAAAAAAAATATTAAGAGAGAGAATATTTTAACAGAACTAGGAATTGTCTGCGTGAATTAGATAAACAATCGATACTACAATCCGCCCAATAACTATTCACAATTGGATAATAAAGTTTAAAAAGTTAGTTATATTATCATAATTATGCTACAATTCCTATTCGTTAAGTTTTCAATGACGCTTAATGAGCATTATTTGAAATATTTATTAAATGTTTTAATTCATCAAAAGTAATAATTAAATAATTTTAATATTTTATGAAACAAATAGATTTTTAATGTTTGCTTTTGTATTTCTCCCATATTTTGCCAGGAATAATCCATTAGAGTCAATTTAATTAATAGACTATATATATTCAAATTTAACTGCGACCGTTGTAAATAAAACTATTGGGAAGAATTTAAAACCCATATTTAATTTCCAATAAACATGGAGGACACAACAAAGTAATCGCGTGATGAAAAATTTATTAAAATATTACTAAGGTGATTTCCTTTTATATATTTGTAAATTGACAAAATTGATATGTAATGAATTTATTAATGAGCATTCTTAAACATTGTCTATAATACATATATTTTCCAAGTAATATGCTAACGTTGCACGTCGATTTACGTTAGTAAAAAAATCTTCTTGATTCTTGATTAATATTATAGTATCACCACTAACCATTTTTAAAATCACTTTTTCTAATATATACATGTAACTACGACTAAACAAATATATGTTAAAATCTTTATCAAATATTCTAAAAAAATTTATGACCGTTATTCTTTCTAAATTAATCTTCATCAATTTGCAAATCAAGAAATCTTCAATTACAGTCATATAAACACAAGAAGAAGATCGCCATTCTTTTCTAATTCTTCACGAAAACTAAAACACAAACAAAACAAATGACACATTCAACCTTCAAACAATACAACTTCAAACAACAGACATGGAAATTAAAGAAACAAATAAATTAAAACTAGTCAAATAGCATTTTTTTATTAAGAAATATAAATATTCTTCACCTGCATGATCTTTATACGATTAAAGTAGTGCTACCAGGAATAACACCATTCCCAAGTCTAAAATCGAATCTTAGTACTAAAAAATACAAGTCTCGAATTCCTTGCAATAATGACCTTTGATAGCTATACACTATCTAACATTATGCTAGATGTATCAATAATGGCCAAAATCACTTACAATATGTTTGAAAAGGGTTTTTAAGAGTTTAAAAGAAAAACTCTTAATAAAATTAACCCTTGTAAACTTATATTCAAACATATTCTTAATCAGAAAACTAACACCACTGTTGTGGTGGAACTGTGGTATATGGCATTGGGCAAACCATAGAAGATGGCATTGGTGGAACTGAAGAAGTTAACGGTTTCCCCTGCACAGCAGCAACTAGGTTAAACTTCAAATTCTCCAAAGAGGTCTTGAAGTGTTGAAGATTATCCAAACTCATGTCCTCAATGGGGAGATCCCACCAAGGGTTAGAGTGATGACTCTGTGACTCCACCATTGCTTGAAGACGATTTCTATCTTCTTTCAATTGGTTTTGAACTGCTTCATACTCCACCCTTAGGGTTTCGACCGTCTCTTCCTGTTCCGTTGTGCATGCACGGTTCATTCTCTGCGGTGGCCCTCCGGCGAGATAGCGGTGGAGGACGGCGTCGGCGTCAGGGTAGCCGCCGGAGTAGAGCTTTCCTTTTTTGGTTGTGTTTGTGATGATCAAAGCGGTTTCCACGTTACAAAGAAGAGAGAGCTCAGTGAGCTTGTGGAATAGCCCTTGTTTGCGTTTGGTGAAGGTCACGTTACGTCTGTTTTTCTGTTTCACTTCCTTTATCTCCGTGTTTCGCCTCTTTTTTCTTGACGTTAACGTTGTTGCTCCACATGAAGCCATTGTTGCAGTCACAAGTCACAACCAAAACGTAACGTTAGAAGACAAGACTGATCGAGTTAGAGGAATTCTCCTTAGGATGCCCCTTTTATTGCCCACTCCTTTAATCTTCCTGTTTTTACGCTTTCAATAATATATTTTGAATGTTATAATCTACATATAACTAGTTACCTACCGTTATTTACGAACGTATTAGTGTATTACAGATATAGCTAGTAATAGTTAATACAAAAAATATATAGTTGATACAAAAATCATATCATTAATTTTTTGATTGCAAAGTTATTGCAATCAGGTTAAGGAAGGGGAACTTTTTACTCAAAAACAAATCGAATTAAACAAGGTAACCGTATCCTTCATTTTATTTAATATTTTTTTTAACGATTATTATAATATTTATCACAATATCTCTCTTTTTTATTTCGCCACGCAGAAATCAATTCTTATACCGTCAAATATCATTATGAATAATTAAAAATAAAAATTTAAAGTTAGGTAATTTTAATGTTGTATATATTATTTTTAAATGATCACACAATTTATTTTTAAAAAACTTTGATTATAATACATATATATATATATATATGTGTGTATGTGTATGTGTGTTGTGTGATGTATATACACCAGTATTTTAGCTCTTACATTTCATAGACTAAATATTTATTATATATAATTAAAATTTATAATAAATTATATATTTAAATAAGTACTATATTTAAATATATAAATTATATTTAAAATTTGTATAAATAAATATTTTTAAACATATAATTCATTTTTTATATTTAAAATAAATAATTAATATTGTATCACACAATTATTTTAAATTATTGATCGTTTATTTAAAATAAATACTTAATATTGTATCACACAATTATTTTTAAGTACATTATTAGTTAACCAAGTAACAAACTAAATTTCCTTGATGAAACTGGCCTTAAACAACGTATGAATTTGTTCTTCTGTTGCCTTTTGACGTTCGACCCCATACACCTATTTTTCCATGTCATCGACTGGAAACTTGGATTTACTGAAAAGTTTATGGCAGAAAATTTTTGGTTAATTTGTGACTTGGCATATCAACTAATGTCCATTTTGTGGGCTTATAGCCCCATCTTGAACATTACTCTTCATCGTTTTGTTTTGGGGTTTCGAAAGAACGTTAGTACTTATCTTATTCTATATGTATTAATTGTTATAATAACTTTAGTATTTAATTTAAATTTGTCAATTTATTAATTTATTTTTTTACCTAATATGTTTTTTCTCCTTAAAATGAGTGATTTTAATGTTGGTCATTATGAAATTTTTTTCTATTTTTTCATCTTTCTAAAATTTGTAAACATTATTTTTAATTTTTATAAGATAGTTTTGATTATTATAAAATTTAATTTTATAAAAATGTTTTTTTTTATTTCTATAAAATCTAAAATTATTTTTTTTAGTCCTAACGATGATTTTAAGGTAGATAAAAAATATTTTTTAAAAATTTGTAAAAAATTTTAGAAATGTCTCACACTAATATCATGTTACTAATTGTTGTAAGTAATACTTGAAATAGTCACTTAACTTTTTAATAAATAAATAAATTAATAATAATTTAAAAATAACATGAACTAAAAACAATAATTGTATATTTTAGAATGATGAAATACAAAAAAGATTACAAAAATCAAAATTAGAATTTATTCATTTTATATGGATTAAAATTTTCTTTTTTTATTAATGATCTTTTATAATAAATCATTCTTAATAATTGAATATATATATATATATATATATATATATATATATTAAAAGAATATATATTTACGGACCAGTCCACTGACCCGGGTCCATCTACCCACCCCTAATTGCGATGATCATACATTAAGGAGTTATTATTGATATGTGATGTAACATTTTACTACTGTCGGTGCTACTTTAGGTACTTATATAGTTGTGCTCAACTAATACTATAATCTAAGATTATTTTGAAATTATTATATATATGTATAAAACTTGTCTATATTAATATATGTGTTTTACTTTTATATTCACGTTTTATATATGTATAACACATTCTCTTCTTTAATTCTATAAGTTCTAATAATATAATTTCCGCTACCGATAATAATTTCATTTAGTGTAATGATTATAACGAATAATTATAATTTTATTAATAATTGTTTTAGAGTTGGTCAAAACAATGACTATATGTATAGTCATTCGTATCTCTATGGTATTGTCATCGTTTTAGCGATAACGTCTTTTTATTTATTTATTATTTCCTTTCTTTCTTTATTGTTACTTTTTTTTCTTCTTCTGCCATCATTGTCGCTTGAGGTTCCATCCTAGCATCAATACAAACCAAAACCACACACCACCTCCCATAATCACTATTGCCACTAAAATGCACCATATCAAGAAGCTGCACCAAAGAAAAGGGAGAGGATTAGAAAATTATTAGTAGAAAATATTATGAGAGATTGGAGAGAATGAAATAGGGTGGGGTTTTCAAATTTTTGGAGAAGAAAGAGGCGAGAGAGGATTTTTATTTAGCACTCAAATTAAAATTAGTGCCATCTTCTTTTGAAGTATTTAAATAACATTAATTTGATTAATAATTCTTTAAAAAAAATTAAGACTTATTTGTCTTTAATCTCTCAATTTGAGATAAATTTATTTTTTATTTCTGAAATTTAAAATTGTTATTTTTAATTTTATAATTTTTAAAAATCTTGTTTTAATCTCTTATGTTACCAATAACATATTTAAAAATGATTACTTAAAATAGTTGTGCAATATCAATTGAGTTTAATGTTATGTTTTCACTAATAGAGACACCAATATGTAGATTTTATTCAATAATATTTATAGATTTTTTAATAAAATTTGAGTATAAGAATTAAAATAAATTTTTTCAAAAGTTACAAGGATTAAAATAGCAATTTTTAATTTTAAGAACTAAAATAAATTTATCTTAAATTTAAGTGACTAAAAATATATATAACTTAAAAATTAAATTACATTATTTATTGGTTTAGCATCAGCTAATTAAAGCTATTATTGTAAAAATGTTGTGTACTATAGGAGAAAATCTTTTTTTTACCTAATTTATAGTATGTATTTAATTTTAACATCTAATTTTTAAATTAAAGGTTCTTAATTAATAAATCAGTTTTATAAACTTTATATTTTATAAATTATTTAATATTTTATTTTATTTATTCAAAATAAAATATATTCATAAAAATATATTATATTTCATCTCATTAAATCAATTTGACATTTAATTTTTAAATTTTGAAAAAATTATAAATTAAATATATTTATAAGTAGTTTATAATTTAACGATTAAATTATTCAAATTTAATATAGACAAAAAATTATTGAATGGTGTAACTCTACCAAGTACCAGTAGTAATTCTTAAAGTGGGTGTATCTTTCTTGTAATACATAACATTGAGGTCAAACTTTCACGAATCATCCCTTTCTACTTATGACATTAACTCGTACTTATATCTCTCTTCAATGTGAGAGTCTTTATCACAACTTTAGAGATAGGAAGTGACAATACTCAACCTATCATTAAAAAGGGTACCTCAAGTATTTTCCATGCATTTCTTTCTCTAATAAAACAATATTGGTCATCCATTAACGTTTGAAAAGGTTACTTATCCATTAATCAATTGTGCCCAAATTGTCGTGTTGTTCTAAACAAACATAACTTTACGAATATAACGTCTTGAGAGAAAAATTAAAATTTAGGTAAATATAATTAAAGTTAAAACATACTTGTGGCCTTTTATATTATTATTCAAATTAGTTTTGGTCCTTTGTTTTTCTTTTTTTAAAAAAAGTTTCACTTTGCTCATTTAACTTTGAAATTTGAGTTAAGGTTTTTCTTCCGAAACAAATGCCACTTTTGAATTTTTGGATGCAATGTTCAACACCTCTTTAGATTGATTCAAGGCGTGAAATTTGTCCAATGAGATTCAACATCAAAATTAAATAATTTTGTGACGTAACTAATGTTTGAGCAAAAGAGAGACATAAGCATGGTGAAAGTTGCATCAAGCATGAGGCTTGGAAGCAAATAGAAAACTAAAAGGTATTTTATGTGTTTCTTTCCCAATAGCCTACGAGCTAGCTTTTTATGTGATTTTCACAATATTTATATCCTTTTATTGATCTAGACTTCAACTGGGATCCTTAGTTTTCATTCTAGTGAAACTAATGGAACATGATTTATGTCTTTAATCAGTCAAAAGACAAGTTTCATATTTAAGTTCTCATTTTATTTCAACATTGAATGGTTAAATATCTTTTGAATCCCTGTAAATATGTTATGTTATACATTTAGTCTATGCACTGTGTTTTTTATTGATACAATTATTAATGTTGTGACAACTTTGATATGACAATGATATACATGTGACAACCTTGATGACATGACATCATCCACAATGAATTTTGTCAGTCACGTTATACAAAACCCTTATCAATCAAAAACATATGAAAATCATAATCATCCAATAATTAATTACGTCTTGTTCATTGAGGAATACAAAATCCTTGTTCTATCATGGTTTTTCTTGTGTCATCCTTGGTTACAAAAACATGTATAAAACGCATGGACAAATCCTAGTTTTATTAATTTTCCCCAATGCTTCCTTCCTTTCTAAGCTATCTTGAAAGGAGGGGATTTGAGTGAAGGATTTGCAAAAGGGCCCTCAACTATTCCCTTTGCTATTAGCCTATATGCTGCTTCGGTAAAATGGGGTCCATCCCAATTTATTCGTTTTGAAGGGTCTGAGCAAACCATTGAGGCAACACTTCCACAATATATTTGTTCACTAAGACCGTAAGGCTCCCCTTTTCCACAACATGCTCTAAAAGTTTCGATTTTACCAGAAGAAAAACCTACAGTAAAAAAAATGGACAAGATCAGAATAAACCATAGAAAAATTAACAATCGCATGCAACTATTCATTATTGATCTAATAAAAAAAGAAATAAAAACACAACCCACCATATTGTTGTGGTGCTTGAAATAAACACTT